CTGCTGTTTAAAGTAGATTTATTCTAGAAGGAGACGAAGCTTAATTTAGTTTCTTATTCGAAATTTCCGTTCCACCTTAAAGACGCCAGAATATAACTGCTACATGATGAGAAGAAGAAGCTGGTCGAATAGGAAGCCAACTGTAGCCTCGTCTGTTCTTCTCTTTTTCCATGTTACAGTGTCTTTTGAGACGCTTAGGTTATCAGACTTGCACATTTCTCATAATCTGGCCAAACGCTGGTTGACGTCGTCACGCTTTTACCTCAGTTTTTCATGATTACGTTAGATAACAGTAGGTAGCAAAACTGCAAGCAGTCCTTAAATCACTTACAAGCAAAACTACTTTTACACCTCAGTGAACAGACTGTACCTAATGGAGAGCAGTCACTGGAACTAAACTGAATTCAGCTTCAAAAGTGAAAACACTGACCGAAAACCGTCTTTAACAGTACTTTAGTGGTAGTTTAATCTCATAACAGTCGACAACAACAACGAACAACATCTATAATTCACAGAAATGCAATATGACCTTATCAAAGTATACAAAACGTTTTTACTTACCTGTGAGAAACACGGGGTCCACCGAGGTGGTCGAGCGTGTACGATGTTACAGTGACGTTAAACTCTCACAGACACCGTGTGTCTCGCGCTCTCTGTCTCTCTCCCCGCCGTCACTCAGTAAGAAATTCCTGCTTGCCCAATTGTCTGATTTATAGGAACTCAAGTGTGGAAAACACTGGAAGAATGTTATTGGCTACCTGTGGCGCTCCCAGCAACCAATCAGCGGCGAGATCCGCAACTACTGCTGGAACTGGTGCAGGTAACGCGCCATTCAGCTAAAGCTATATTATAATAGAGGGATTTATGTCCTGGCTGTGAAAAAAAGAAAGAGAATATGTATAATATTTTTTCTACACCTTTACATTTTACATTGTGTGAAGAATTCATGATGAACAGACTAATAGAAATGCTCCAAAATTGCTGTGAATGAAATCTCTTTACATTAACTTACATTAAATGTTAAGGATGTTTTGAATTTTCACGTAAAGTTACCTTTTGGGAATACATGATTTCTTTGGACTGTGGCGATATTTTTCTTCCTTTTTAATCCTGATTTGTGTGTGATTATTATATTATAAACCACCGAGTTGTTTACTCATCTTCCCATTCCTTTTCTACGTTTTGTTCTACTTCCTGTGAACTCCTTCATGCATTTTATTTTGTAAAGAAACAGAAAATAGCAAAAATATTACCAAAAATCTACGTACATTATTATTATTATTATTATTATGTTGTTGTTGTTGTTGTTGTTGTTGTTGATGATGATGTTGTTGTTATTTTTGCAGCCAGGTTAACAACATCTTTCATATATGGTATACTTTAAAGATAAAAAAAATATTTATTTAAATATCACTTAATCAAAAGTTATTAAACTGTTTGTGTGTGTGGAAACTATGCATGAAGGGCTTAAGACACATTTTGGCAAAACAAAAAATCAGTGTAAATTTAATTATTTAATGTTCAGTTTTGATGCATTTCAAATAATAATAATAAAATGCAATGTGGAGATTATGTTTAACATGATCAGCCATTTAAGGTGAAGAGGTCAGCACCGCACTGAGTGTTTTTGTAAGTGGTTCTAGACACACAGGGAGACTAATCTTTACTGCAAACTACAAAACCCGCAGATAAACAGAACAAACACGCCAAAATCGCAGCGTCATTCAGGAAAGAAGAAAAACACCTCTGATATCAGCGGAAAGGATGCTAAGCGGAAGCGCAGAGAGCTTTGCGCAACTGTGTGGTGGGCCGAGCTCTTTAGGGGGGATTCTTCTGTGTGCTGGAAATATCGTTCATTCTGTTGGGAAAGTTAAAGCTCAGCATTGCAGTCTAAGTTTTCCCAGCTTAAAGTCATTCCGGTAAAAGAGCTTCAGTGAGGCATACGGCTCTCATGTCTGAGCTCATGTTTTTGGCTGCAACTGAGTTGTTGCTCAACAGTGGCTTCAGCTGGAGACCTGCTGGAAAAGCAGCTTTCAGTCATCGAACAGCCTTATCAGCGATAATGAGTCACCCTTTAGATCACTGCTTCACTACGGCTGCAGCATTATGTTCACTTTTGACCCATCACGACGAGTCTAATCACTGTGGGGAAGTCTGTGTGTCTCAGATCTCATCAGTGTTAACGTTGACTAACAGAAGACACTTCAAGATGTCAGCCTTCTCACCCTTTATGAGCCATCTGAGGAATGAGATCAAAGCCTTTTGGGGTTTAAGACGACACAAAGCGGTCAACACAAATGATAGGAGTTGATGAATGTGTTCAAATCATGGGATTTTATTCATATTTTGCATATACAGATTACACAAATGCTATCATGCATTTCAATCACTAAAAAACTACGGTCTTCTTTAATAAAGTCAGTGGTCCTACATAGAACCATGAACACTCAAAGAACCCTTTGCGCGATTAAAGGATACTTTGTCTTGTCAAAGTTTTCTT